TGAAATACTCCGAATTAGCGCGAAATAGCCTGAAATAATCCGAAATAGGCGGGAAATAGCCGAAATGGCAGGAGAAATAACCGAAATGGTAGGAGAAATACCACGAAATAGTCCGTACGCTACGAACCCTAGTGATTTCCCCCTCGATTGGAACCGCCGAAGGAGCCAGCACAAAGTTCCTCCAGTTCTCGTGCAAGCAGGTCACGCAGCCGTGCCTCTGTAAGTTCGTGTCGAACACTTTCAACTTCTGCATTCTTTGTTCAAACCAGAAAATACAATCGGTTTTTAATTTGTTTTCAGGCGAAGCAACGTGACTCGTTTGGATCCAAACAGGCGCCAAAATCCAAGAAAGCTCCTGGGCCTGGTGCGAGGGTTTTAAACCCTGACAAATCAACGGCTAAGAAGGTGGCAAAGTGCAACGCTGCGGAAGTAAGCATATTTTTATATTAACATATTTTTTCAGTCCATGGCAACGTTCTGGTAAAAATGTATTTTTTTATTTTTTTTTCAGCTTGGGGTGCAAAACCGAAACTCCGTAATAACGAATGTTAAGATTTTGTGCCCTTATGATGGAGCTATGACTTCTAATTGGAAGCACATCAATGAACACAAGCCTCCACTCGATGCCACTAGATTAAAAACCTATGCTCAAGGAATGTACTCGAGCAACATGAGAGGGCCATTCTTGAGAAAAGATCTCGTTCAAGGCATCATGGCGGCAGCAAACGAGGGGGAGAAAAGTGTCGAGAAGTTTGTCAACAATTTCTGCCAGGCTGCAGGTGTTGGGCTGACAGACCTCAAGGGGGAGTCAATGCCAATTTATCAGATGGACCAAGTTTTTCATCAAGACTATGTAAGTACAACAGTTGAAGCACTAAGAAACTTATTTAGAGCCCTGGTAAAGACATGTGACGACGATCTTTTTAATAGGGTATTCCGCTGCAAGCCAACCGGAACCTAAAGAAGAAAAGCATGACTGCTCGATCTGTTTCCCTCTGCGCGCTCATTGGCTGACCGCCATACAGCCACGCCATCTTTGGCCAATCACCGTTCAGGAGGAAACAGATCGGGTAGTCATGCTATTCTTCTTTAGGTTCCGATGGTGTTGTAGCGGAATACCCTATTGCAGGTTGTTCCGCCAGACCAAAGGCTGATGGTCGATCTGCAAGCAGACCTGGAGCAGCCCACAAGTGACAGCGAGTAAGGCCGGTTAGGCTAGTTAGAGCCAAGTGCTTATCTTGTTTTTCTGTGATTCATTGCTGTGATCATTGCAATAATTTGTTTGTTTTTCAGTGTACAAGCTACATATTATAAATCTTGAAATAAATTTTGAAAAAAGCAGTTACACACTAAAATATTCATTTGAAAATATTTTAGGAGTGTAACAAAAAAGCACCAGATAAGCTTCCACGTCCACGTTCGTTGGTGCTGGAAACACTTAACCAAATCTGACGATTTAGTTAGGTGGCTAAGAGAAGCTTTCTTTTTTAGCCCGCCCTTCTGCTTTGAAAAAGCTATCTAGCGGGCTTATGCAAACGATCTCGTGTGTGTCTGTCTGTCTGTCTGTGTGTCTGTCTGTTGAACTGGAAGGAGATGTGCTAGAGACTTGAAATTTTCAGGGTATCTTAAGGTCCACTCCTAGAAAACGAAACGCCTACGGCAAATCCTGGCAACCACCCCTAAGAGTGTGAATGGGGGTATCGAAGGTTCAAAAATTCTCCCAAAAAGTATTTTTGGTTATGTTCTCCTAAGGGGTAACTCGTCAAAGTAGAGCCCTTTTTGGACGAAAATTTCGTCCGTTTTGCTCTATCTCTAACCGTTTAGACGCTGGAGGGACTTTATTGACGAAAATAAGCTAAAAATTGCCATAGTGAACAATAAGAGTAGTATAGATGGGGACCTGTCACTGTCCGCTATCTTGATGGGGACCTGTCCCCCTACCGCCATTTTGATTTTTGTGCATCCCCCTACCCTCGAGGGGTGAAAAAAGGGTATCTTATGGGTGCCTAACCTAACCTAACTTATTTGAAGGGTGTCTTTTGAGCGCCTAACATAAACCTATTTTTTAAAAAAATGGTGTCTTTTGGGTGTCTAACCCAAACCTAATTTTTTAAAAATGGTGTCTTATGGGTGTCTAACCCAAACCTAATTTTTGAAGGCTGTCTTTTGAGTGTGTAACATAAACCTATTTTTTGAAGGCTGTTTTTTGAGTGTGTAACATAAACCATTTTTATGTGGGTTGTTTGAAAGGGCGACAAACTCCCACCTAAATTTTTTGGAAGTGTATCTTATGGGTGTGTAACCTAACTTTTTGAAGGATGTCTTTTGAGTGCCTAACTTAAACCTAAAT